ATATACATACACACACACACACACAAGAGAAAAATAAAAAATATGATCATACATTTTTCTGTACATTTCATGCAAGCTGGGCACAATGTGAAAACAACATATATAAAGCACCCTTCCAGGGCCAAACTCTCACAAAAATGGCTGATTAATATGCAGAAAAGCCTGCATGAATCAAAGGTCCATGGCAAACCACAAAATTAAGGAACACTGGCAAACTTATTTTTCTTGTAACAATGCAGGAATGTTGATGTTCCAACCAATGGCTTGCCTATCAAACCCACAGGTGAACAGGTTGCATATGGGGTGGTCTTCACTCCATGCTGAGCAACACACCATTCTTCTGTGGCCCTGTCAAAAATCAAACAAACCCAAATTAGGGCATTATTCCAGAAAAAAGATTTACAAAACTTTGGCTAAATTAACAACACCGTTGAAAATAATTAAAAGGGAGAAATACACACACACACGCAGGCGCACACACACAAAGTCCAAGTGAGCCAAAAATACTGAGCATCGCAATAGGTTTTCAGTGATGTGCTAGTCAGGCCACCATGATGTGTGTGACATCAGGACATAGGATGGATGAATGAAGTATGACTCGCACTTTGTGAACCTTTAGGAAAATAAAGACTATAGTGAAACACAAAAATAACTCATTAATTTGAAAATGTTACATGAGCAAATGGGACTAGGAATATTTTAAGATAATCTAAATAAAATTCACTCAAAGACCTCAAATACTATTTTACAAATAATTGGTTGACTAAGTAAAAAAGGAGCTGGAAAAATATGCATGGCACCAAACAAAAGGCCTTTCAGAAATATTCCCGGCATCTGCAGGAATTCCAGTTAAATATCATAATGCGGGGGAAATTACTAGGAGGTATTAGACAAAGCTTACATGTCACATATTAGTTTTTTGTTTACTGATGTAAGCAGTTAAGATAATGCCCAGTACTCAGACTGTCACCTGTATTTTCTAACTTAATAAAATAGCTCTAATTTGTTGTTATATCACACAATAAAATACAAAAATTACTATTAACTAACACTGATGAATTTATTCAGGAAAAGAAACATTCAAAGAATGGCACAAAAGTCTCCTCTGCAAAACAGCCACAGAAAAAATGCAGTTTATATATCTGAAAAGAGAACTGCAATAGGCCACAAAAATAAAATAATTGTGAAAAAGAAAAGGCCACATAAAAAGTACCTTCTATTGCTTCTTGAGAGACAGACAGACAAAGTCAAGCCTTTGCACAGAACTATTTAAAGATAAATGAAAAGTAGGCATGGTGGCACACGCCTGTAATCCCAATTATTTAGGAGGCTGAGGTAGGAGTACTTCCAAGTTCAAGGCTGGACTGGGCAAGTTAGGAAGACCATCTCAAAAAAAAAAAAAGGCCAGGGATCCAGCTCAGTAGAAGAACCCTTGCCTAGAATGAGTTCAATCCCCAACACTGAAAAAGAAAACAAATGCAAGGAATTCATGTACTTGGCAATGAAGGAAAAAGATCACATGGCCAGGAGCCACAGAGAAAGTTGAAAGCTATGTCCCTTGGTTTGAAATGCTGACACTTGCCAGGGAAAGTTGGAGACTCTCACATCTCATGTGCTCATAGCATAATCAATCAATAACCTACCCAGAAACGGATCCACAAATAATGCTCTATCACCTCTGCAGACAGTCACAACATATACTCAGGACACTCACTCACAGGACCCTATTTACTCATCTAAAAACCTAACATTTCACGACCAGTCTCACTTCAGTACCTTCTTACTCTGGCATTCCTCTTAACAGACCATAAAGCTTACCTTCCTGAAACACACTTTTGGGAAATGCTGCTTACGCTATCCCCAAAGCAAAACAATTTCAAATTATTAGTCCCTTCTATTGTACTTCTTAAAAGTTCCATAAGGGTTTTTTTCTCTTTTTAAAATAGTTCACCTGAAAGCAGTTACAAATATAAGCCAGGAATTCCTAGCTATGGTATTGTGACACAGGCACATTTACTTACCTGAAGAAGTGTTACAAGTTCAAAATTAAGTTAAACGTTACTTGTTAATCTTAAATCTATTTCATATATCACTTTTGGAGGAAATAATTCTAAGCACAACAAAATTCTAAATTCCAGTATTACTGAATGTTTACAGGTAATTTAAAATGACACTGTCTACATGCATTTAGGACCAATAAGGACCATTCAGAACTCCTAACTTTCTTGAATGAAAACATTCTCAAAGTAATGAAGCCAAGCTTTCTTACAAATTTGTTTCAAATGCAAACTGTGTCTGTTGCAAAGCAACCTTAAAATACATATAGAAAGCCAGGCATGGTGGCGCATGCCTGTAATCCCAGCACTCGGGAGGCTGAGGCAAGAGGATCGCTTCGAGTTCAAGACCAGCCTTGGCTACACAGTGACTTCCAGGGCAGTCTGAATTACATAGTGAGGCCGTCTAAAAAAAAAAAAGCTGATTTAAAAGAGAACACTTTACTGTGTTGAAGATGCTCCTTGGATGATGTCAGTGATACATACCAGTTATTAAAAAATTTTTTAAATTCTTCTGAATATGCAATTCAGAGTTTTGTTAAAAGTTGTGAAACTTTTTAAAATATTTACTCTAATTTCATGAAAAATTGATAAAAAGATCAATAATTAACTTTAAACATATCTTAAGATATGTAAAAAAGAGAAATGGCTGAAATACCTCTGCATAAGGACAGAGATACTTTTCAGAAACTGCCTGCCACATAAGAAAAAGGTGTTTCTATACTGGTGGCAAATCCCCACTTCACAGTCTATCTCTGTGGCTGCTCTTAGTCTATAGTTGTTTGAAGAGCACATCTAGTGCACATCCTTATAGCTCATGAACTGCACTTTGAGGCTTTATACCATGAAATGAGACAAGTTTCAACAATAAGAACTATCTGAAGAGGAGCCAGAAGGCAGCAATCCTGAAATGTTGTACTGGATGTCTGGAAATGTTTAGATGTTTAGAGGAATGCGTGCATGCAAAGGCAGTGGACTGGAAGTATCAGGAATGGATTAATTAAGAGAAGGAATTGGTGTATTCATCACACAGGTATTACAATAATATTCAGAAAAGAGCAAACCAAAAAATGAGACTGACTGGCTGCAGGACTCAATTAAACACAAAAGCCTGAAGAAATGCTGCCTTAACAAGCAATGGAGTTTTTATCAGAGCCACCTCCATTACCGACTAATGGAAAAGAGCCAAACATCCATGCTAAAAATCTGGAGCCAACATCAAAGAACATAGCAAGGCCTAGAGAATCACCTAAATGCAGGCTACTAGTGTCTCTAGCGGAGATTCTGACTTGGCTGGGTGAGGTGGTTCCAAAAGTCTAAACCACACATAGAAACATCCAGCTAACTCCTCTATTCCACAGCTGAAGTTAGCAGGGAACAATCCCTTCATTTATACAAAAGTAACATTTAAAACATATTTCTTCTTCTTGTGATGACATGTCATTACAAAGGTAGTTTTTTGGTTAGAAGTCAAATCAAGGATTCCCACCTCCCAGAACTCCCACTCCCACTATGATGAACACTGCTCCTGCCTGACTGCAGTTACATGCTATTCTACACAGTCCCACCCTGTATAAACTCAACTGAAACAATCTGAAGTTCTGCTTTCCCATATGGCAGCTTTTAACACATGTGCTGATAAGCACATCAACCCATCAACCACACCTAAGGAAACTGAGTCTAATTTGAAACTCAAATGCTGATACTCAGGGTACTAAAGTACCAGTCTGGAACAAACTGATTACACTAACTCTACTTTTCAAGTTTAAATTTGTGAACTCTAAAAACAGATCCAAGTAAGTACTTCCAGTGAAAATTTAGTACCCCAAAACTTTTAAGAAAGTATGAATATAAAATATTTCTAACACTTTTATACTGATTACATGTTGAAATTATATGATTTGGGTACATTTGGTTAAATAAAATGTTAAAACTGATTTCTCACTGAAAATGTAAATAAGGACCAAAATGTGTCACAGACATTGTGAAACAGGAAGGTTACAGAGGAAGGGGAAGGGGGATAAAATGGAAACAATGTTTTTGTAAATAAGGAGGAAAAAGGGGTTGAAGGGAGGGGAGGGGAATGGAAAAAAGATAAGACTTAAGATATATCATGTATAGGTACAAATTCCATATGATGAAAGTGATCATTATGTATATCTAAACTGTACCGATAAACTTAACTGATAAAATAAATAAAATGGATTTCTCTGCTTTTTCAATATAGTTACTAAAAACCTAAAAATCACATAGGTGATTTCTACGAAACAGTAGTGACTTACGGTGTGAAATCCCCAGTCCTGCTCTAACGCGCCTGGCGAGCCCGTGTCTACTGTTACCTGCCGACTGCTCCGGGGAAGCCGCGCCAGTCGCACTCCTGACATATCGAACAATCGCACTTGTCTGTTGTCATGGGGAAGGGCTATGATCTTCTGGCCAACACATACATTGATCCTGAAGAGATAAAAATGGGCTATGTGTAAAACAGTAGCAACATAAATTTCTGAATTTACAGATGATACAGCAGGGTTCTACATATTATTCGCATTTCATTCTTATAAATCTAACAAGCTGATTTTATACTGAACATGTCTGAGAATTTCTAATATACCAAATTTGACTAGAGGGTCAATAAAATATATTCCCAAACTCTAAACCATTTTCCCAAGGTTTTATCAACCAAATACTACACCTATATAATAAAGCATCACAGTGCAATCAACCCTTACCTGTTAATGGCAGAGTCTGTGCGAATCGTTGCAATTGGGGATCTCATATTTTTCAAATCCCAGACTTTTACGGTGCGGTCATCACTGCCTGAAACAACATTGTCTCCCACAGTGAACACAGCCGAGGTCACAGTGCTGTAAGTAAAGGGTACAGGGTCAGACTCCTCAAAGGACGGGTGCAGGATGCTACAACACTTCTCTCCCTTCAGGCATGCCAGACACAGTCCTGCTTCCAGAGATGGCAGGGTCTGGGGGTGGAAAGGAGATGTGAAAGCTGACAGTAGTGTTTTAGTACTCTGTAATCCGCTCTTACCTCTTAAATTCTCCCTATTGAGTATTAAGTAAGGATATCTGACTTCTCAGTAGAGTAGAAAAATACAGACTATTACCACTCTAGTTCACTATTTCTAGGCAATGAAGCAAAAGAAAAATATGGACTAGACAAAAATCTGTCAAAATTTTTATATACTTGGGTCAGATGATAGAGAATTTTTTAAAAACTGCAACACTCAACCAATTTAATCAGAACATAGGAGTCAGAGAAAGGCACTCAGACAACTGTTTAAAAATGGCAAATGGTTTCAAGAGATATTTTTCTAAAAAAGATACACATATGACCAAAAAGCACATAAAGAGATACTAAATTACCACTAATCATCAAAGAAACACAAATCAAAAAAACAATGAGATACCACTACACATCCTTTATGATGACTACTACCAAAAAGCAAAATCAAAAACAGAAACTAAGAAGTATTGGCGAAGATGCAGAGAAATTAGAATCCCTGTGGCACTTCTGGTGGGACTGTAAAATGGTGGAAAACAGTGTATTAATTCACCGATAAAACACAAAATTAATGTAAGAGCCAGAAAAATAAATGAAAGCAAGCACTCAATGTTCACAGCAGCATTACATGAAGAAGTAGTATTACTGACACAGCAACCTAACTGACAAGAGCCAAAATGAAACACCTCAGAAGTGCACTTGAGCACATGGATTAAAAAAAGAAAAGAGAATGTAATACATACATGTAAGTATGTATATGAATAATATTAGGTCATAAAAAAGAAAGAAAATTATAAAGCATGCTACAGTGTGGACAAAACTTTAAAAAATTAAGGAAGATCCACTGCGTATAGTGGTGCATGCCTGTAATCCCAGCTACCTAGCAGGCTGAAGCAAAGGATCCCAAGTTCAAGGCCAGCCTGGGCTACTTAGGGAAACCCTGTCTCAAAATAAAATTTAAAAGGGGAGGGGGCCGTAGGAATGTAGCTCAGCATTCCACTGGTTGTCCTCAGTAACCCCTCAAACACACACACAGAAGGATCCTGCTTATATCCAGTGCCTGGAATAGGTAAATCTACAGAGACAGAAAACAGAATGGAGGTAGTTCAGGTTTCAGAGCTGGGTAGAAGTGAGGGTAGTTTAAGGTGTACAGAGTTTCTGTTTGGAATAGTGAAAAAGTTCGGAAAACTAAGAGTGATAATTTGCACAAAAATGTGAATTTATGTAATGCCACTGCAAATGTAGAAATTATTACAATAGTTAAACTTTTTAAATTTAAGAAGAAAAACATTAGAACCACTCTCTAAACTTCTTTATGTAATCCAAGACAATTAACAAATTTTAATTCAAATGTAAAATACACGGGAGGAGGGGGTCACAGAACAGAGGACCCAAAATGGTAAAAACAAAAAGATCTAAGAAACATAAGCTATACGTCAAAAGTGCTATAAAAATGAGATGACAAAAAGTCACTTATTTTGTCTTATTTAAACTATTTCATAAACCTTGCTCTTGAAATGAAAATACATTGTCTGATATGGTGTTAAGTATACCTATCTGTTTTAACAAATGATGACGGTTAAAAATATAAATGGATAATGTCATCACTTGAATAACATCTTTTTAAATTAATTTTATTGGTACATTTTAGGAATACAATACAATGGCATTCATTATTGGAGATTTGAATCGCATCATCGAAGAAACCCAATCAAAATTTTCAAACAAAACCATGTCTCTTTCCTGGCTGATACCTCAGATCCCAGTTAGTGGTGGCTATGGTTACTATACTAACTAATGATGCTAAACTTACGTTCAAAGGAAAGTCGCCAACCATCTGTTAGAAGATAGCACTGAAATAATAAAATGACACCTGAAGAAAAGTCTAAATTCAATCATCTCTTTTCACTAGCAAAGTGCAGTAAGAAAATGCAATAAAAATATTACTTTCCCAGTGAAATGGGAGAGCTGAGATACCTTACTTAGGCATACATTCTATAGAACATGATTTACAGTATCACAGAGGAATATACTTAAAAGGCATGTTAGGTCATTTTTATTATACGCAGATGAGTTCCCATTTTCATCATCCATCTCTTCAGGCCTTCACAGGACTTCCTGCCTGCTGCGGTGCCAAGTATCCATTTTAATCTACATGTTAGTGATGATTCTCCCCAGGAGTGGACCACCTATACCAGAATCAGCAGATCTAAAGATATGGGGACAGAACCTTTGACAAAAAGAGACTTCACCTCTACAACTGTACCCCACAATCACGAAAAGTGGAGTTACTCACTCTGTACAAAAGCTTAAAATATATGAATCTCAGCACTCAATAAAGCACCGAAATCACTCTACAAGATAACAAGCATGTCCACCTATAGATGAAATAAGAGATCTTATTTTCACAAATCATTAATTTGTATGGACAAAAGCTTGATTTCTATTTCCTGAATTTATATGTATCCACTACTTGGAACTTAGTAATTTCAATTTAAATGCCAGTCGTTCCTGTCACTGAAGCTGTACAGTGAGATTCAACTGCATGTTCCATTCAGACTTCTGATGAGATGAGCACTATCTAGTCACTATGCCCAATTTATGAATACTTTCCTAATTTAAATGAATACAAGTGAAGTTCTAATTAAATCTAAGCTCCACTGTATTAACACAGGTTTTTAGAACACAACATCAGAGTAGTCACTAAGAATCAAGGAGTTTCAAGAATGCCTGACAATACATTATAACATAACATCATCAGGACTAATATAACACCAACAGTACCTGCCTTCTCAGTCTGCCACAGCGCACACATCTAGGCATAATGTTCCCCAGCCTGGAAGTGACACTGGATAGGACCCTTCTTCTGGGGGCATCCCAGGCACTTCAGCAGCCTCGCTGTTCTGTGCCATCAGAAACCACTGCATGTGCCTCCCCTCATGTGACAAGCAACAGTGTCTCCAGGAAGGTAAATCCTGCCTGGTTGGGAAACGCTGCACAATGCCTAAAGAAGATACGATCTTGCACACGGCCAAATGCAATAGAGAGAGAAGGGAGTTGAAAAGGTAACTCTATACAAATCAACCCAATGACCCATCTGGGGGGTTTTTCCCAAAAAAACACATGGTTAGGTCTATTAACACTTAATAGCTCTTCACAACTTTGGTCAATTACAAATTGGTCAATTACAAAACTTGTGTGTGACCATCTAAATTCTTTAACAATGTAAGGCTCGGACTATAAATCAGGTATGTTTGTTCCTTATACAAAGGTCGCAATAAGATTTAGAGTTTCAACCTCTGTTATATCTTTGAAAAGCTGAAGGTAAAGATACATACAGACTTCTCTTTGGAGGTTCTGGCCAAGTTAAATTTCAGCTAGCATTCTGCTAAGTTAATAGGGTGATGGGGAGCCTCAACAAAAGATCCTGTAACCCTATGTTAATGAAATGCTAAAAGACATTAGGTTTTTAATAAATCACAATCTTGACAGGTATTATAGGATATCAAAAGAAAAAAAACTGGCAAAGAGGCAGTAGTTTTAAAGGCACCCTTAGACCACGGGTCCCACGGGGAGGCTGGTGAGCTACAACCGTTCACTGGAAAATCTTCAGACTCTGCCAAACTCCAGCAAAACTAATTTATCTTGTCGTGGAGAGCAGCCGAGCATGTACTTCCAGCTGACAGTACGGTACCTTCTCACCACACACCACTGCCTGATCTGGAACATTCTGCTCCCTCCGTGGGTCTCAATCAACGGAAATACTGTAATGCTAGCACTCCTCATTAGGACTAACAGCTGTCTTCCCAGTCACACAGAGACACAAAACTGTTTTGCATAACAATCTGCCGAAATTTCACGGCTAAGAAAAAAAATATATGATGTGGAAAATGCTAGACCATGAAATGCTAATGCAGTGTGCTTATCTGGCACCACATCAAGCTTCCATCTTTTATTTTTTGAATGTAGATTCCCACAAAATAAGGTTTTTATATCTGAAGAACAGATCAATGTATACAGAAAGCAAGCACTTCCTATATAAATAGGCATATCATTCCTTAGAATATAGGCTTACCTGTTCAAGGTACAGAGAATCCATCTTTAAAAATAGTATCTTTGAAGCCATCATTGGGACTTTATTACTTTGGTCAGTCAACTGTTCCGGTATGTTCCAGCATTAATATAAAAGTTCCTATACAATGCTTTAGATCGTCCAATTGATCTGGACTTTTAAATAAAGCACTGTCTGGTGTGAGTAACCAACTCCCAGGAGCCAAACCAGAACCGTCTGATGAACCAGCACAGGACACACTACACAGTGAAAAGCTGAACGTGGTACAACTGCATCCTTTGTGCTCAAAGTAATCAGATTGCCAGGTATCATCTTCCTAGCTGTCATTTTCCAAACTATGTACAAAACCAGATTTTTAATAGAAAAAACAAGTCTTCACCCTTTGTAGCCGGACAGCCTAAATAAGTAGGCATTTTAGGACCACAGAAAGAAGATACTCTGTTTGCCTTCCTATCATATGTGCTTAAAAAGTCACTCAAGCCTGTATCTTAAGAATTCAGATGTCTGAAAAACATGTCATCATATCCAAATGAAATGCATTTTTTAATATTCCTTGATGGCTAACTCTCAAAAAAATGGGCCTATGGGCCAGGGATTTAGCTCAGGTTCGGTGTTGTCATCATATCCAAATGAAATGCATTTTTTAATATTCCTTGATGGCTAACTCTCAAAAAAATGGGCCTATGGGCCAGGGATTTAGCTCAGTGGTTCGGTGGCCTGCCTTGCAAGCACAAGGACCCGAGTTCAATCCCCAGTACCAAAAAAAAAAAAAAATGG